AATTCATGTCAGTTGAGGTGAGGGCCTTGGGCGAAAGTCGTCCCTTTTGTGGATCTGATGTAAAAACATGAAGATCGCCTGAAGGCATTTGATACCCAGGAGGACACTGCCTGTGAGCATGGAGATTCCCTTTAGCTGACCCGGGAGAATCGTGCCGAGGAGGAGGAACTGGCGCTCCCACCCACCCAGACAAGCCCATCTTGCCAACAGGCAGCCCGGAGAAACCCATTCTGTTTACTCAGGAAGAGTAAGCCCCGCAGAGTTCAAGGGGGTCACGAAGCTGATCCGAGCCCTGTTGGTGTTTACCTGTGTCCCATTGTTTCCAGTGGGATTTGCTGGGGGCGTGCAACAAGAATTCAAGTAGGATTTCGGTTCGAAGTACACGTAGCCAAGAAATTCTCTTTCTTTGTAGACCGAAATTCAAAATACCTTGTCTCGTGAGAAAAGTTCCTGGCCTCTATATGGGGGGAGGGGGCTTACCTGCAGCAGCCGGGGATATATTACTGGTGGGATCTCCAGGATCCAGGGCTTGAGGTGCGGGAATGTTTTCCGTGGCGTGGAGATAAATAACATCACCTGGTGGCAAATAATATTCCCGTTAAGCCTCCACTAAAGGGGCCTCACACACACACACACACACACACCGCTGTTGGCAACCCTGTTAGAGATCTAGAGTTCTCTCTGCTTCTAGGATCCCTGGTTGGGGAAAAACCGGAGAAGGGGAACAGAGCCGGTGAGTGATTTGTGGCGTGGTCGCTTGCTTTATTTATACTCCCCGTTTTTCACTAAGACTCAAGGCTGGGTTGAAGTGTCTCATTAAAGGGACAACTGCAGGAGCCGGTTCCACTAAGGGATATTATACACTCATCTATTAGCGCTATTAACATTTGCTAGATGGGTAAATTATAAGGAGAATTCGTGTCTGCCGTAGTTTCCATTCCGGGAACGGTCGTGTTATGAAAATCCAGAATTCAGTTTTACACTTTTATATCACTTTGACTATCACGGTTTCTCCTACAGAATTCTGGGCACTGAAGTCCATTTAAGGGCGTTGAGAATTCCTAGTTAGGGAGGTCTGTTCCCACACTCTCCGGATTACAATTCCCCGGGGAGAGGGAATGCCCATCCAGCCGGTATTCTTATGCAGAACAACACTTAACATTTACATGGTGCTTCCCTCGCTGAAATGCTTTCACAAGCATTCTCTTGACCGCCCTCCTGTAAGGCGGGTCACAATGATCAGTATATTGTGTATTCCTCGACGGAAATAGATTTGTTTGCCTGCACGTATAACGTTCGCTTCTCCTTATAGGTCTGAAGATAGACGGATCTTCCTTCTGCTCCCCCCCCCAAATCTTACTCGATCCTCCAAAAACTGCTGCCATCGCTGTGGAGAATCAGTAATTATGATTTCCCCTATTCAGTGAACTTCCCGCATTCCGGTTTGCCAAAACGAAAATTTACTTGGGGCAGGTAAAAAACAAAAAGAAAAGGGCTAAAGGGAAAGAACAGAAACACCGCATCGCTTTATCGATTTAATCCAGATTCAGTCGGGGCGACAAGGCGAGATCGGAATAGTTTCCACTGCAGTTCATTCACATTTCATCAAGAAGCCCGCCCTGAAAGACACGGCTTGTTTATGTTCTCCACTCAGGAAGCTCTGCTTGCCCCTCACCCTTCATCTCCTCTAGAACAGCCCCACTAAAATCCCCGGGGAGCCCTTCTCTGCAGCGCTTGCTTGTTGGCGATTGTATCGAGATGCCGCGTCTTTTATTTCCTTGGGCTAATTGGATTTGATTAATCGTCAGAAAACCTGGTCGCTTAATAAAGTGGATCTAATGCATGTGCTTGTGTGTGTGTTGTGTTGTGTTTTGTGTGCCCAATATAGATAGGAATGATTGCCTCTGTATAGGCAGTCTGTATACACAGATCGATACAGATATATTCTTTGAGCTCATAAAGGTCATTGAAGTCTTAATGATAGGGCTAAGCACACTTGCCTGGAAGTGAACGCGATTGAAATCAATGGGGGCTGTGGGGGGGGGGGGATAAACACACTGAAGAAAGGGTTTGGGGGGGAGAAGACTCCTCTGCAAAAAAAATCCATGTCACAGCTAGCACGTGGTTCCGAGGCAACTTCGTATCTCCCTCTTTTCCGCGGAGAGCAAAGCTGGCACACATTTACTTTCACGGGGAAAGATACGCGTGTGCGGAGCTGAGTCTTCCGCTCGGTTTCGACGTAGGTTGAAACGCGTTCAGTAAAGAGCAGCAAATAGGAGGGGGCCACCAACCCAGACTGCGTGGCTGGATCGTGCCCGGAGCATTGATCAAGCGCCCCCGAAGGGTTTCAGGCAAGGTGGTGGTTGTCAGCTGCTGGCTGTCCCCAGGCCCAGGCAGGATTTCTCGCCGGGGCGCCGAGGGTCTGGCTCCTTCTGGCCTGCCAAGCCCGGCTGCAGTGGGGAAGTTTCCACCGCAAGGCTGGGTCGCCGTGTGTCTCAAGGGATGCAAACAGCCCGCGCCCCTCGCATTGTTCCCGACCCCAGGTGAAAAGTTGACGCATGAAAGCCAGGGGGGGATCTGAGGGGGGGGGCAGGGCTTCAAAGGGCCGGCGCGGCCGTCTGCTGCGCCAGGAGCGGGGGCGGGTGGGGGGGGGTGGGCACCGGAGGGCCAGCCGGGCCCTCTCATATCAAAGCCACATTCTCGCGTCTGCTCCACAGGCTCTGCGATTTGGATCGGGCTGGAAATGTGCCCGAAGCTCCTCAGTCCCTAAGGTCAGCCAAAGAGAGCGGGTCAGGGTCACCAAGGCAGGCCCGGATCTTATCTTTTCTCACTGAAGGGACCGCTCCGCCCTTCTCCAGATTAGAGGGGCTTGAAGGGAAGCCTGTCCCGCGGGGGCCGGCCCTTCTCCAGGCGCACCAGGGAAAGCCCGGGATTCCCCCCCCCCCGCCGCCGCCGCGGGACCTCTCCCTTGCAGGACCCTTCCCCTGGAACCCAAGAGTCCGAGGGGGCCGCCCGGGTAAGCCTCATGCAGCGCCTCTCCATGTGTGTCACCCACCTCTTTGACCCCGATTCTTGGCCTCCCCCCACCATTTCAGTCCAAACGTCTCCAGACTAAATGGAGTCCCTTCCAAAGCGGCCTTGGATGCTTTTTAAAAAATAAAATAAAGCTCACTTCGGGCCCCTCCCCCTCCCATCTCCAACTCGGATGGCTTCAGAAAACACGGAAGCGGATGGAATTGATTTCACCGGCATTCCCCCGATGACCTTGAGCGGAGCAGACAGGAGCAAAGACAGGGAGAGAAGAGGAAAATCCTCACTTTCATTTCACTTTCAGTGCACGAACCAACCAGTGTTCCCTCTAAGATGATTTAGTGTGAGCTAGCTCGCAGGGTTTTTTAACCTCCGGCTCACACAGTTTTGTCTCAGTTCAGGAAGGCTCCAGAGCAAACTAAGGTATGCAGCAGCCAAATCGCTCGCTCACAACTTTAATGCCAGTAGCTCACAAAATAGAATTTTTGCTCACCAGATTCCACAGCTTAGAGGGAGCCTTGGTCCCAACTGGATTTCAGTCCGTAAACTGGCAACATCCCGTTGCAAAGTGCACTGAAAGCGGATTACGTAGTGTGTCTGACCGCAGCCATTAACTTCCACCCCCACCCCACGCACAAAAACACTCCACGCCACAAAGATCGATCCAGGCGGGCAGCCGCGTTCGTCTGAAGCAGCAGAACGAAGTTGGCGACCAGTGGCAGCTTTAAGACCAACCACGAGTTTCACTCTGGCGTTCGCACCAAAATTTATACCCAGAACAAAATTTGGCTGGTCTTAAAGGTGCCCCCCTGGACTCAAGCTTCGTTCTGCTCCAGCCCCGGCCCTGAGCACACCTTCTGGGATGAGCACGCCTCCGTTGCACTCCAAGGGGCTTTCCTAGATGTGTTCACTTTAGCAGACTTGATAAGGGAAACTGGTGGTGGGGAAGAAACTCACTCTTGACACACGCCAAAACCCTAAAGAAATTAAGATAATCCCTTCCACATTCGGAATTCACTTTTTCTTCCTCTCTCCACACCCGGGATTAGCCTGATGAACGGGTTATTAATGAGTAAACAGCTTTCCACTGGGAAGGGTGCCCCCAATGACGACGCCTGGAAAGTCCTCTTCACGCGTTCACCGGCGGAGAGCGCGCCGCCCTGCGCAGTCTGGGGGTGGGTGGGGAAGGGCTCCGCTGACATACATTTCCAGCGTGGGGATCCCTTGGAACGGGTCGTCTTAACTCCTGGACGCTGAGTAGAGGAATACTTTTTTTTAAAAAAATGCATTATTATTACTATTATTATTACTATTATATAGGGAGAGGTGCTCTTTGGAACTCCGGCCCTCCGTCACTGGGCGCGCTCCCGGGTCTCCCCCCTCCCCTCCCCTCCCCTCCC